GTCTTTATTAACTTAATGGTTTTGGTTTTTGGATTTTGGTTTCTTGAGACAGGTTTTTTTGGGTAGCCCTTACTGTCCTGGAACTTGCTCTTGTAGACCAGGATAGGACAGACCTGAAATTCACAGAGATCCACCTGCCTTTGCCTTCCAAGTGCTGGGACTAAAGGAGTGCACCACCACTGCCCAGCCTAATTTAAGTTTTTAATTTTTTAAGACTTATTTTTTAATTGTGAGGTGTGAGGTGTGTATTTACATGTGGATATGTGCATAATGAGTGCAGGTGCTGGCAGAGGCATCAGAGCTCTTAGAGCTGGAGTTAGAGACATTTGTGAGCAGACTGATGGGTACTGGGAACTGAACTCAGGTCCTCTGGAAGAGCAACAAGTGCTCTTAACTGCTGAGCTATCTCTCCAGTCTAATTCCTTGAAATTTGTGTGTGTGTGTGTGTGTGTGTGTGTGTGTGTGTGTGTGTGTGTGCGCGTGAGCGTGCGCGCTTGTGTGCACACACTCAAGTGCAAGTGCTGGGGGTTTAGGTGTGGAAGTCAGAAGATAACTTGGTTCTCTCCTTCCATATTTACATGGGCTTTGGGAAAAGGCAACTTGGCTTATCAGGCTTTCAGAGCAAGCACTATAACTGCTGAGCCATCTTGGGGGGCCCATCTTTTCATTCTTCTTAAAAAATTACTTAATTAGGTGCTGGGTCTGGTAGCACATGCCTTTAATCCCAGCATTCAGGAAGCAGAGGCAGGAGGATCTCTGAGTTTAAGGCCAGCCTGGTCTACAGAGTGAGTTCCAGAACAGCCAAAGATACACAGAGAAACCCTGTCTTGAAAAAAACAAAAAAATTACTTTCTTAGTTAATATGTATTTAATGTATGTATGAGTGCCTGCATGCATGTTTGTGTACTACATGTGTGCCTGGTGCCCAACTAAGGAACCCAGGCAAGGTTTTCAGATCCCCTGGAACTAGAGTTACAGTCAGTTGAGGGTCGCCATGTCAGTGCTGGGGAATCAAACCTGGGTCCTCTGGAAGAGCCGCTGGTGCTCTTAATTACCAAGCTACTTCTCCAGGGCCCGTCTTTTCGTTTGACAGTGTCTTTGGAAGAGTGGTTTGTCACAGTAGCATTATGGATATACACGTGTTTTGGAGCAAGATTACAGGTCACTGTGTTTTGCCATGGTGTCAGCTCCTTGGGGTCAGGGACTATTTTGTTTCAGAACAGGGACATCAGAGGTAACAGCTGAATAAAGTTCAGTGATCAACAAGAAGGGTGAGACAAGCTGTCCCAAGGCATCCAAGATGTTGTAGTCAGGGTACAGACAAAGTTTCAGGATTGAGATGAGAGCCAAGAGCTGTTGCCCGAGACCTTTTCTGCTTCAGAACTGCTTTGACGAGTGTGGAGAGAATCCTAAGCTCTGGCCTTGACTGGCATTCCTTGGTGACCAGTTCCTGAGGGAGGAACTTAGGTAAGGACATTACCAACATTCACAGGAGGACTTGACAGGAACAGAGCTAAGTTTCTGTATCTAGGCAACTTGAAATCATTGTGGAGTTTGGCCTGACTGGCATACTCACTGCCTCGGGGGCTTCATAGAACCTCCTTGCCCCCACAGTGTAGAGGGGGATGAAGCCAAGGTTGAAGTCATTGGCAGAGCTGAAGCCAGGCTGTCTGTGGCAGGGGCCAGCTCATCTCCTCCCTATTGCCTTGAGTTTGTCCTAGCGCTATTTTGGCCTGTGGTGTGTGGTTTTATCAAGTGGGCCAGTTTGTAATCACAACACAATCGCATCTTTTAAGGGTTGAGTGAGCAAGACAGGAGAGGAAACTGCTTAAGAGATTTTCCTCAATTAGTGAGGCCTTGTCTTCCCTGAGAGGGCCTTAAAGTTAGTACAAGAGTAAGAAAATGGGGTAGAGGGAGAAAGGGAGAGAATAGATGGAGAGAGAGAGAATAGATGGAGAGAGAGAGAATAGATGGAGAGAGAGAGAGAGAGAGAGAGAGAGAGAGAGAGAGAGAGGAGAGAGAGAGAGATTTTGTGTCTAGGGGAGGTGGTGGCAGTTGGCTGCCTGTAGGGAGGCAGCAATTCATGCAAAGTGCTCCCAGCTGCCCCTGGTTTATGGCCTAATCCCAGCCCTGCTCCAGCCTGTCATTCATGGTAAGCTACTATCATTAGTGGTTAAACATTTCTGAAAGTATTTCCCTCTCAACTCTGACCACATGCCCTTTCGTGGAAGAAAGATGGGGAGGAGCCAGGAGAGCAATGAGTCCCACCCTGTCCACATCCAGCTGCTCTACAGAGTGACAAGGAACCTTGGCCCTGGAAGAAGTTTGGATTTGTTAAAGCCTGTGTGTCTGCTTCTGTTCCTGAGGGACAGAGGCCTACTCTAAAGGCTGTGGTTCCCAAACCTAGGAGGCCTGTTTTGTCCTTGTAAGGAGATTCTTGGTTGGAATAAACCTTTATTAACCAATTTCACCTCTTGAGTTCTCTGCCCGCAACACATGCATATACTGGGCCATGCTGAACAGTTACTGAACATTGCCGTTCCCTCTGGAACTAGGGACTGCTGTCTGCTTTTGATGCATGGTTGTGGTGAAGGGCTTCACAGTAACATTTCTTCTCATGAAGTGGGGGCTTTGAAATCTTTTTCTTTGACTGAGGTATGGTTGACAGCTTTTTGTTTTTGTTTTTGTTTTTGTTTTTTTGGAGGCTGTCCTGGAACTAGCTTTTGTAGAGGCTGGGCTCGAACTCACAGAGATCCGCCTGCCTCTGCCTCCCGAGTGCTGGGACTAAAGGTGTGCGCCACCAACGCCTGGCTTGGTTGACAGCTTTTGATTTATGAAATTAGTGCAGGGAAAAAATAAGATAAAATGGGAAAGCCAAACCAAATCTCTCTTAACTTTCAACAATTGCACTGTCTTTAGGTAGTATAGACCCCAGAGTTTGCAAGGTCTTGGGGTCTCTCATTTTCACTGTATTTTTTTGTTTGTTTTGTTTTATTTTTTGAGACAAGGTCTTGCTGTGTAGCCTTGGCTTGCCTGGATCTCACTTTGTAAATCAGGCTGGCCTTGAACTCAAATTTGCCTGTCTGCCTATTGAGTGCTGGGCTTAAAGGTGTGTGCCACCATTACCAGTTTTTTGTTTTTAAGATAAAATCTCATTCAGTAGTCTTTGGAACTTGTTGTATAACCAAGGCTGTCTTCAAACTCTGAGCAATCCTCCTGACTCAGCTTCCTGAGTGTTGGCTTTATGGATGTATGCTACCATATCTAGTTTTATACACACACAGTCACTACCGCAAGAACAACTGTTACTTCTCTTTAAAAAAAAAACATTTATGGATTTTTTTTTCCTTTTCAGAAGTGTATAAGCTCAGAGAAGGAAACTAGAAAAATCAATAAAGTATCTCTATTCCCAGCTTCCAAGATAACCACCATTAGTGTTGTGGTTTATGTCCATCTTGTACAAGAGTCCGTTACTGAAAGCTGGGCATGGTGGCACATGCCTATAATTCCAGCTCTTGAGAGGCAGAGAGGCCAGCAGGGTCTACAAAGTGAGTTTCAGGACTGCCAGGGCTAGGCTACACAGAGAAAGCCTGTCTTGAAAAAACAAAAAGGAATCTGTTACTAAGAAAGTAGGTGGTAGGTGGTTTATAACCCCTCACAAAACCAACTGTTACTTGTGCTGTAGGCCTGTCCTAGCCTGCTGGAGAGATGCTCTCAGTAGCAGAGGGACTCTGCTGGGTGGTCTTCCCAGCAGGAAACTCTCTGTCAGAGATAAATCTTACACTTGCCCGGTAACTGGGGGAAAGTAGCTCCAGACAAAGTCAACAAAGGACCACCCATTCCACAATCATCCTCCAGCCAAGGAGGAGGGCCCGGGTGAGAATGCATTCTGCAGAACTTGCCATCATTTGCTTACATACTTGCAAATGGAGGCAATAGAGCCACTGTCAGAGTGGCCACACTGAGTGAGGTGGTGCATTAAAGTGTAATGCTCAGGTCATGGTGGTGTATGGTTTCCTCTGGGCTCATTGTGATCAGTTCTCTTGTTGCTGGTCTTTATGCCCCATGCCCTGTAGTGTAAGTTGTTCTCTCAGCCTGTGTTTTCCTGCCTGGAAAGGACCAGACTTGTCGAGCCTGGCAGTGGTGGTACAGACCTTTAATCCCGGCTCTCTGGATCCCAGCACATGTGGATCTCTGTGAGTTCAAGGCCAGCCTGGTCTATGGATCGAGTTCCAGAGCAGGCTTCAAAACTACAGAGAAACCCTGTGTGTGGGGGGGTGGGGGGGTGGGGGGGAGAACCAGACTTATCTTTATTCAGTAGATGGCATTTAAACCATCTAGTTGATGCAAATTAAATAATGACTGTGGGCATACCAATAATGTCTGTTAACGAAAGAGCCAAACCCAAGGCAGAGAGGCTTAGATGTTTTTCCTGAGTGGAGTGGAGGAACCCTACAGAACAAACTTTTGTCATTGTTGCTTTGTGCTTTGTGCTCTGAAAAAAAAAAAAATCCCTCCTTAAATCCGCTTCTGTGTTGGCTTTCAGTCACCTGGAGAGCTGTGTGATGTCCCAGCATATGCACTGGCTCATGCTGCTTAGTCATCTTCCCAGTTATAGAGAAATGATTTGCATAAGTTTGGGCCCCTGTACCTAATGGGAGAAACAGTCATCCACTGCCTGTCCAGAGGCTCTTGTTTATTCCTAACATCTAAGCCCAATAAAAATAATGTGATGGTCACAGGCTATTTTGCCAGTTATTTCAGATGTGGGGGTGATTTGCTCCAAATTTGTTTATTTCAAGTGGAAAAGTTTGCACAAAGCTGCCTTTTGGGCTTTTACCAAGAAGGAAGCTTCCCTGGGTCTCTGCTCAGAGCCAGCTCCTGTTGAGTGAGAAGCTGGAGTGACTACAGGTCTTGTTTCTAATAAATAGCAAGTGGGGGAAGCGCCTTTCTTTCTTACAGTGACTTATGTCGGTCTGCTTTCTACTCTGAACCCCCAGAACGCACAGACATTCAGGTGGCTCAGGCAGAACAACCACAACTAACGGCGACCAAAGCCCTGGTGCTAGGAACCGGCACCGCCAACCTGTGAAGAACCCCAGCAACAGTGGCTTAGCCAATGGCACAGGTGAGTGATGGATGACACCCAGCATCAGCCTGGACAGAGCAGGAGGCCTTTGCCTGTCCTGTTTGCACTCAGGGCATTGCCTTCTGTGTCAGAATATAGTGGAGTAAGAGACTCCAGCACTTGTGTTGTTTGGGTCCATTACTTACTCCATTGACCCATCTTCTTTAATCTCTGGCTTACTCTGCACAGCCAGGGTTCCATGCCTGGGCATGTAGCTCAATTGGTAGAGACTTATGTAGCGTGCATGAGGCAGACCTGGGTTCAGTCTTCAGTACCTTACAAAACTGGCTTAAGGAGGTGGGAGGGTCAGAAGTTAAAGGTCATCTTTGGCTACATGACAGTTCGAGGCTAGCCTGGGATACATTAGATTCTGTCTCAGAAAATAAAAATGACAAACAAAATATTCCTTTGTGGAGGTTTTTTTTTTTTTTTTTTTTTTTTTTTTAAAAAAGGGTTTTTTTTTTTGTTTTTGAAGACAAGGTTTCTCTGTGTATCCCTGGTTGTCCTGGAACAGGCTGGCCTTAAACTCTTGGAGATCCGCCTGCCTCTGCCTCCCAAACACTGGGATTAAAGGCATGAACCACCATTGACCAGCCGAGAAAATTTTTTACAAATGTGGGTTTTTTCATTAATTTCTTATCAACATTGAGTTTCATTTGGATTTTAAAGAAAGATTTAGTTTATTTTTATTTATTTATTTGTTTGTTTGTTTGTTTTTTTGAGGCAGGGTTTCTCTGTGGGACGGTCCTGGCTGTTCTGGAACTCGCTTTGTAGACCAGGATGGCCTTGAACTCACTGAGATCCACCTGCCTCTGCCCCCCAAGTGCTGGGATTAAAGGTGTGTGCACCACATGCATACAGGTGCTCATTTGCAGCCAATGGAAGGAGGCGTGGACATTTGCTTCTACAGACTCTAGACAGGGGAATATAATTCCAGTTGGGAGAGACATGGAAATGACTTTTATAGATGCCTGTTTGTGATTGCAGAGGTGTGACATGAAGACACAGCAGCATAGTTTGCTGTTGTGACAGCATTATTGGCCTGTGTGTGACAGACTGATTGAGTAGCACACTACTTGGGTTGCTCTGTCTTGGATTTCAGTTCTGTGGAAGCAGTGGGTGGGACTTCAGAGTCCTTCTGTGACTAATGTTGCCTCGCTATCTCACTGTGTACAAGGAATGGTAGGGCAAAGTGGCAAGCCTGGGGCATGACTTGACTTCCTGGAGTTGGGGACCTGCTTGAAATAAATGAGTTAAGCAGTTTCCTGTGAACTTCCTGGATGAAGTCCCAACAGCTTGTCTCAGCCTGCCCAGTGCTCAGGGTCCAATCACCACATCCTTTCCATCTGCACTAAGGGATGGCAAGCGAGTGGCTATGGACTGTTGCACTGAGTCATGCACAGCTCTCCAAGCAGCAGCAAATGTGCTCTTCTTAGAAAACAGTTGTTTATAGAGAAGCTTGCAGTAGTCCTGCTGGACACAGGCCACGTCACCCTTGAACACATGGAAGCAGTCTCCTGATGCAGCAGCTGGGCCACCAGTCACTTCATCCTTCCAAGGCTCTACATTACCATGATAGCAGTGTCCCTCCTCCCTCTCTGCTTTTATAAAAGCAGTTGAAAATTGCCTTAATTGGCAATGGTCTTTGAGTCAGTCTTCATAGATATTTAAAGATTTTTAAATTTTTTTCAAAATGGGGGTAGGGTTGGAGTCTTTGTGTGGGTATATATTTGTGAGAGCAGGTGCCCATAGAGATCAGAGGCATTGAATCCCCCCAGGAGGTGGAGTTACAGGTGATTGTAAGCCTCCTGGTGTGATGCTGGGAATTGAATCCAGGTTGTCTGCAAGAGCAATGAGTGTTTAACCACTGGGCCATTTCCCCAGACCTTCTGGGATAGCAGCAGACTTTTACTTGCTTTATTTTTAGTTTTAGGTATCTTTGCTTCTTGTCTTTATCCCTATAACCTTGTGTTCTAGCTTTTGAGGTAGGTTCCAGTCATGTCTTTAAAAAGCCACATGTGTCTAGCTCCAGACAACCTTGGACTTGTTTTATGGTTGTTTCTCTGAATGCCCAAACCATTTCTAAAACCTAGCTTCAAAGGGCAGCTCCTGCTTGCTAAAATGCAAAGGCCTTGGCTTCTGCCTCTGCCTTTTTAGCAATGATGACGTTTCATCTTGACCTTACAGGCAGCCTGGACTATGTGAAAACAGAAAGCAAGAACTGTGGCTAGAGTGGGCAGACAGAGGTCTCCCCTCTTGTCAGTGTTGGATTTGAATGAGGATGTCGCCATCTCTCCATGCTAGGCCTATGAGGACCACTTCCAGGATGGCGGTATAGGAGCTAGAGTTATTGTTGATTGTGAACCTGCTGTAGATGCTGGGAACTGAACTCTGGTCCTCTAAAGAGTAGTTAACTGTGCCTCCTGCTAGAGTTTTCACAGGCATGCAAGATTAATTTAACAGTCTCTCCTATCGACTGTGTATGCATGTAAAAGACATTAGGGGCAAAACCAGAACTCTTCACTCCTGAGCCATTCTTTCTCTCCAGCCCCATTGTTTACTTTTTAAAAGTAGTTTTCATGATGAGAGTGTAGCTTGCCTACAGTTGGTAGAGTGCTTGCCTAGCTTTTGTGAGCCCTGGGTTTAATCTCTATCTCCACATAAACTGAACTCAAGAGAAGCTGGGACTATGAGATCCCATCTCAAAAATCAAATTAAAATAATATATTGTAGTGTAGTTAATAGCCATCCATCATTTAACTGTTCTCACTCAACTCTTATGTAGTTCTCTCTTTTGTTTTTGAGATAAGAGTAGCTAGCTTGGAAGTCTGTGTACAGCAGGCTGGCCTTGAACCCACAACACTCCTGCCTCTGCATGAATGTACTTCGATTGCAGTATTACACCACCTCAGATGGCACATGTCCTTCTTCGCATACAACTTTGATCTGGGAAAACACGCAAACATTTTTAAAGAAACAATTGTAGCTGTGTTGCTTAGGCTGGCCTTGAATCCCCGGGCTCTAGCTGTCCCACTGGACCCTCTCCTGAAGCTGACCCTGTATGCACAGGAGTTTGTTACTACAATTCTTGTATCAATGGTTACAAATTTTTAAAAATGAGATCAGTTTCCTTTTAGGAGAATTGCTTATATGTCAAAGGCTGCATAAAACTTTCACAAAGCAGTATATGAATTTTTTTCTCCAATCTTATAAATACTGTTCTGGTTTTTTATGCTTTCAATGTTGAGTCCCACATCATTGTTTATTTTTGCTATTGCTTTTTTTATTTTGCTTTGTTTTGTGTTGGGGATTGAACTCCTGGCTTTATGCATGCTGTGCACACACTGTACCACTGAGCTACCTAGCCCTAGACTAATTTCCTCTGTATTGGAGCCCTGTTCTCACTGAGTGTTAGTCAGACAGCTTCCATTGTAGCTTTTCCTTAGAGTGTACACTTCCTACTCTCTTTTATACTGTGAGAATTTTTTCTTGTTTTGAGTAAGTCACACTTATTTTGATTATTGGGATAATATTAAAAAATATTTTATATGTATATGTGCTTTGCGTGCATGTGTCTGTCACCTCGTGGCTGCCTGGCACCCTCTTTACAGGGAGTCAGATGCTCTGAGACTGGAGTTACAAATGGCTGTGAGCTGCCGTGTGGCTACAGGAATTGAACCCAGGTCCTCTGGAGAAGGTGCCAGTGCTCTTAACCCTGAGCCATCTCTCTAGCCCTAGCATAGTATGTTTTTAATGTCTAAAAGGGCTAGCTCTGCCTTGTTACTTTTTCTCTTTGAAAGTTCATAAACTTTTCAAAAACAAATTTTAGACTTTAAACTTTTAGAGACATGCTAAAAGTAGGAGTTACATTAATCTACTTAACAGAAGTGGGAATAACATTTTCCTCATGGGTTATTGGAATTGCAAATGAGCTAATAAAAATGTCCTTACTAAAGGCAATGAGGGATCCTGGATTTCCACTGAGGTAAAGCTGGATCCTTGACTTTACCATAGAAAAGAATTTCAGGATGAGTAGTATGAAGTAGAAATGGAGTTTATTAAAAGTCATTATTTATTTATTTACTTACTTATTTATTTATTTTTACTGAGATGGTCTCACTGTGTAGCCCTTGGCCTAGAACTCTGTGTAGATCAGGTTTGGCCTTGAACTCAGAGATCCAACCACCTCTGTTTCCAGTAGGCTTTATTTTTACTTTATGTATATGGATATTGTGCCTGCATGTATGTTTGTATACCACTTGGGTGCCTGGTACCTTCTGAGGCCAGAATGGAATGTCAGATCCCCTGGAACTGGAGTTATAGACAGTTCCATGTGGGTGCTGGGAACCAAACCTGGGTCCTCTTGCAAGAGTAGCAAGTACTATTAACTGCTACTATTAACTCTCCGATATAGATTTAATATGTAATGTAAGCACAATGGCTATGAGGAGCACTTGGGAAAAAAAACAAGACACTAAGAGCATGGTTGTGGGCTAAAGAAGAGTCACAGTACCATTGTCTTTACAATATCTGTGTATAGAACTTGATTTCCATGGAGGCTGAAGAAATGTAAGAGAATTTGCTCCTCTAACAAAAGACCTGAATTTGGTTCCTAGCACCCACGTCACCCAGCTAATGACTAACTGCAAGCTTCAGGGACCCCAGCACTCCTGGTTTAAGCAGGCACCTGTATTCATGTGCATACAAATACACCTATTAACAATTTTTAAATAAAAAAGCATTTTTAAGCTGGTGAGGTGGCTCATGCCTTTAGTCCCAGCAATGGGGAGGCAGAGGCAGGCAGATCTCTGAGTTTGAAGCCTGCCAGGTCTCAAGAAAAGTTCCAGGACAGCCAGAGATACACAGAGAAACCCTGTGTCAAAAAAGTGTGTGAGTGAGAAAAAGCATAGCTCAAACATGCAGAGGCAGCCATTGTTGTGTTTTCTGTGATTCCCCTAAAGACATTCTTTAAATGTACAAGTGTATAAATGTGTGTTATCTGAGGGGAAAACCACACAGGTGTCCAGGCACACACAGATGATAACAGTATATATATATACTTCACAGCTATTTCCCACTTAATTGTCTTAGTTTTTCCATAGAACTTGAGGCCAGTGTGAAGAGCTTTGTCCTGTGTACTCCTCCACTAACCTCAGCTAATTTGGGGGAACTTTTACTATAAATACAGTCTTTACAACATGGACTGAAATGTTTAAATCCTATTCCTCTGTGATTTTTTTCTACAACAATGTAAAAAGCTTTCATTGTAACTCTGTGTGTGTGTGTGTGTGTGTGTGTGTGTGTGTGTGTGTGTGTGTGTGTGTTGAAGAGTAGAGGGACCCAGTTGGCTAGAGGCGATGGGTCCCCTGGAGCTAGGTTACAGGTGGTTGTGAGATGTCAGACAGAGGTGCTGGGAATTGAAGTCAGGTTCTCTGGAAGAGCAGTATGTACTCTTCATGGTTGAGCCATCTCGCCACCTCCACACCCTCAGAAATTTTTTAAAGAGATGAAACCTCATTTTCTGATGGTGCAAAGTCATCAGCTCATTATTCTGGAGGCTAGCAGAGGGAGACTTGAGCTTTTCCACAGGCTCCATCCCTCACAAACTGAAACTGGGGAAGCAGAGTGGTTCGGGCAGCTCCTCTTTATTTAAATGAAGACCACACCAAGGGAATTAGAATCAGTATTTTGCAACCTCCAACTAATTATTGAATTGTCAGTTTCTGAACTCTTTGTTCATTTACTCATTCTCTGACTTTTCAAGATTTAGTTCATTATCATAGCTCTGTGGTAGGTCTGATGTGCTAGAGAAAACCTCCCAACAAAAACAAGCATTCTTCTTTAGACCTTCATCTCTGTTCCTACAAATTTAGTTTCCCTTATACATTTTACAGTGAATTTATCTAATGACTTAAAAAGGCATGGTGGAGTTTTTTAAAGAATTGCATAAGGTTTATAGATTTGCATAAAGAGGATTGCCATCTGTTGTATGTACTAGCTTAGCTCAGACAGAATATGGAAAATAAACAAAGTTTTGCATTTATGTTGGGGAAACAGTCATTGTACAGATTTGGTTATTAAGCATCTGATGTAGCTTCTTTGCCAGGCAGTATTAACATTGAGGAGAAAGCAAGCAGGTCTCAGGCTAAGGATACAGCTCAGGGACAGTGCACTTGCCTAGTCCACGCAAGTCTCTGGGTTTGATCCTCAGCACTGCAAGATAAATAAATAGAACAAAATCCAAAGGACTCAGTCAGAAGCAGTTCCACATCTTAGGTTCGCAGCCATTTGTTAAAGCCAAGCTTGGTTGGGAAGATATTTTGGTTTCAGCTGACTACCAGTGTTAGCCAGTTGGATCTGGTTATATGTAATCTTGGTTCCCACTGAAGGATGTGCAGAAAAGTAGAGTGAGTGGCTCAAGTCCTGGAGGCAGATAGAAAACTATGAATTAAATGTCCTACAACTATGACCGATTATTTAGCCTCTTGGATGCTTGTTTCCTCCATATAAAGTGGGACAGTTGAGGTGCCTAACTGGTGGGGTTGCGTGTGAAGCTTAAAAGAACATAAACTAAGAGAGAACTTTGTGTCTTGTCTGGCACACATACCCCATCCCATCTCATATTCAGTAGTAATGTTTATTATTCTTATTTAAATTTGTTGTCTGGGGACTAGAGAGATGGCTCAGCAATTAAGAGCACCTTTTGCTCTTTCAGAGAACCCTGGCTCAATTCCTAGCACCCACATGGCAGCTCATAACCTTCCCTAACTGCAGTTCCAGGGAATCTTTTGCCCTCTTGTGAACTCCTCAGACACAAGCACACAAATAGTGTACATGCATTCATGTAGCAGAACGTTTATACACAGAAATATAATACGTCTTTCAAAAAATTGTCATCTGGCCACCGGGCGTTGGTGGCACACGCCTTTAATCCCAGCACTCGGGAGGCAGAGGCAGGCAGATATCTGTGAGTTCGAGGCCAGCCTGGTCTCCAGAGCAAGTGCCAGGATAGGCTCCAAAGCTACACAGAGAAACCCTGTCTGGAAAAACCAAAAGCATCTAATTCTCTTGGTCAGATAGTTATACTATTTAGGAGAAATGACAGGCAGTTACAAAAGGATAGCCCATAAACAGTGAAGAAATAGTAGCCTTTGTATCAGGGTCAGAGCCAGAGACTAATAAGAAACAGAAGATGCACCAGATACTTATTTTGGATTGCTTTGGCATGGAGAATGGAGGCCAATGATGGAGTTAAGCTGAACTTCCTTCAATTGCATCTGCTCAACAGTAAACTGTAACTGTAGTGGTCTCCTCAGAGGAGATCCAGGAGCAGCTACACACCTGCTGTTTTAGGGGGAACTACAAAACAAATTTCTGAATTAGAAAAATGAAACTAAACAATGACTAAGATGTTTGGCATTGAAATTCTGATGTAAATGTGTAGACAGTTTCCTATAGCTTCCTATAGCTCCTCTATTTTCAAAGGATTGTAATTCTTTAAAACCTTATTTGATCTCTCTTCCAAGTTAGAGGATTTATAGTGCCTTGGCCCTTGTTGACATAGTGATCATCAAAGACCCAAAGAAACAGTGAGGTAAGAAGGTTTAGGAGCTACTTTGTTTTACTTGTTGTCTGTTGTTACCTTGGAGACAAGTCCTTAGTACTGAGCCCCTTTTATGTAGCTATTAATCCCTGCTTCTGTCCTTGAATCAAGGATCTTTAAAACAGAGGTTCCCAACCTGTGCACCGCGATACCTTGTGGGTGGAACAACCCTTTCACAGGGGTCAAACATCAGATATCCTGCATATTAGATATTTGTATTACAATTCATAACTAGCAAAGTTACAGTGATGAAGTAGAAATGAAATAATTTTATGGTTGAGGGTCACCATGGCATGAAGAACTGTATTAAAGTGTCTCAGCATTAGGAAGGTTGAGAGCCACTGATTTAAGAGAACATTTTGGGGAGCTGGAAAGATGACTCAGCAGTTAAAAGCACAGGCTACTCTTCTGGCCTCAGTGGGCCATTGCATACATGTCGTGCTCTAACATACTTGGGAGCAAAACAGTCAAACACATAAAATAAGATTAAAATAATAAAAGGAACTTTACAGAAGTGTCTATGGTTTATGTGTGCACAGGTGTTTGAAGAAAAGCGCTGTCCATGTCTAGCAGGCAGATGGCAACTTTAAAGGAAAGGATGTGCCCCTGTAAACTTGGCCTTGGTCTTGCTTCACTTACACCAGTACCTTTCCTTGTTTTCCTCCTCTTTCCTGCTGCTCTTGGATTGGTGTCGGTGTAACCATAGCATATTAGAAAACCCTAATAAAATTATTTAACTAATTTAACTAAATTACTAAGCCACCTGGGGAGGTGGCTTAGTGGGTAAGAGTACTTGCTTTTCCATCAAGGAGACCTGAGTTTGAATCCCCAGCACTCGTATAAAAACTACAGGTTAAGCTTGCATGTGCTTGTAATCCCAGCCCGGCGGTGGGGAGGGGAGGGCGGGCAGAGACAGGTGGATCCTGAGAGCTTTCTGGTGGACAGCCTGTCCAAAGCAGCAAGCTTCTGGTTCAGTGAGAGGCCCAGTCTCAAAGGAGCCTGCTGCAGCCTCTGTATCCAAGTGCACAAGGGTGCAAGCGCACATGGGTGCCCACTCACATGCACAACTCACATAATTCACTTCTCATGTCCTTTGGGAAGGCATTACTAACTTATATAATATTTATTGCAATGCTTTTGTTGGTTTTCTTGGTTTGTTTTTGGAAATAAGTTCTCATTATATAGCCCCAGCTATCTGGCCAAGAGCTTACTATGTAGCCCTTTAACCGGAATACCAGAGTTTGTGTCACATGTCACCAAAACACTGATGAGCAGATTTGGGGATTGAATCTTTTTTCTCTTAAAATTGTTATTTTTAATTATGTGTAGGCATGCATCTGCATGTAGGTATGTGCAGATGAGACCAGAGGTGACTGGTGCCCTGCGGCCACTTGACATGCGTGCTATGAGCCTAACTTAGGTCCCCTGGAAGAAGAGCAAGTACTCTTAACCACTGAGCCATCTCCCTAGCCCCGGGAATTGAATCTCTAGGCTATACTTTATTTAGATCTGTCAGCCTGTGAAAACAGGATTAGTACCCCAGAGAATCTCCCTTCTCCCAGTGCCTGCCAGCACACCTCATAGGGAACAGGAGGTTCATGCAGCTCTCATTATCTCCTGTACTTTTGTTATTCTCAAATCTCTCGTGTGGTCAGCTCTTCTGAGTCCCACTCAGATACGTTAACTTAGGACACACTCTCATCAGTGTGTCTGTTGATCGTGATATTAGATAGTTATTAGATAGTTATTAGATAGTGTGTATGTTTAGAGTCCTTCCCACAGTACAAAAATACAAATATGCGCTTATAACTAGAGTATAAACATGTCCCTACCCATTACTTTTGTCTGTTATCAGACCTGATTGGCATGAAATTCACCATGTGGCTTCAAACTTGAGGCCATCCTCCTGTTTCTACCTTCTGAGTGCTGAAACCAGTGTGCAAAGTCTGCTTTTGTGAAACTCACAGTTGTCTAGTAGGCTAATATCATACACATGCTGTTAGTCAGTATGGTGTGCAAAACCTAGTAAAAGAAAACAAAATTCTTGTTTCTAGTTACCTTTACATATGCTTTATGCATTTCAGCGAACGAGGAACCTACTACAGCCAGTGATCCTGAAGAACCTTCTGCTGTTGGTGTGACAGCCCCACCTGCTACAGCCTTGAGTGTGTCCCCAAACCCCAACACGACATCTCTCCCTGCACCGTCCACACCAGCTGAGGGAGAGGAACCCAGCACTTCGGGGACACAGCAACTTCCGGCCGCTGCCCAGGCCCCTGATGCTCTCCCAGCCGGGTGAGTAGCCTTGTGTGCCAGGATGGTACCCTCCTCCTCAGGGACTGCCTCCTCCACTGGGTCAGGGTCTCTGGGAAGACTGCCATGTGTAGAAGCAAGAGAGTTGTGGAAGTGCTTGCTCTGCAAACATCTGAGAGACCCTAACTTATCTCGGAGGCAGGCTAGTGCTGCCTTATGCTGGGACATAAGCAGATAGCTTCTGTGGAACAAGGAGCACATTGTCTTCATGGTTGTGGGAGGGTGTCTGACTAGATGCTGCCCAGAGAATAGCATTTTCCCTCCTGAGTTTGACCTTGGCAACCCACAAAGGACTTGGGCTTTAGGTGATGAATTACTATGGCTGTTATCCCTACAACTGTGGCCAGTGTTAACACAGGTGCTTGTTTCCTTGCCCTCTTTTACTTTGGATACAAAGACCTTAACCAAGATGACAACTCCAGCAAAACAAAGGGGAGTTCAATTTTGACTATGTAGTGAGTGGGGATTAGGAGCATGGATTCTGGGGACTTACCAGATGGCCCAGTGGATAAAGGCCCTTGCCACCAAGCCAGGAAGTACCCTGAGTTTGATCTCCATATCTACATGGTGAAAGGAAAGAACCAACTCTCCTACAAGTTATCCTCTGACCTTTCACCACACACACACACACACACACACACACACACACACACACACACCAAATAAACACAAGTAGAAAAAAAAGAACATGTTTTTTTTTTTTTTTTTTTTTTTTTTTTTTTTTTTTTCAAACGGAATCATTAAATTAGTGATTGAATCCAGCCATCTACCTCACCTGTATGGCCTTGGCTGTGTGACTTATATGTTGGTTATGTGGTGACAATAAGCATCCACATCTAGGGACTCCAATAAAGTGGTGTGTGTGAAACATGTGTTGAGAGCCAGTCACATATTTCTTTGAAGTGTCTGTGAAGGAGCCACAAAGGCAGAGACTGCTTTGGACCTGGGAAACAAAAGTCTTAACCTCAGGTAAGACCAACTGTGGTCAGGGCCAGTCCCGTTGTCCATCTTAGTTATCAGTTTGGCACAAAAGAAAACAATGTCCCATGATGGCAAGATGGTTTAGTATAAGTTGCTTGCCACAAACCCGAAACCCCCCAGGTAGAGGGAGAAAACTGATTCCTGCAGGTTACCCTCTGACCTCTGCATTTGCCCAGTGGCACATGTTCCCTGCCCCTAGGTAAATGTTTGTTTAAAAATTGTTTTAGGGTTGCTGGTGAGATGACTCAGCAGGTAAAGGCATTTGCTACCTAACCTGAGATCAGTCCCCAGGCCCCACATGATAGAAGGAGAAAGCTGAACTGACTCCTGTGGATTGTCCATTGCTCTCTACAGGCGTGTCATCCCCACACAGACAGACACACCCCCACACAGATAGATACACAAATAAATTCAGAAAAAGGTAGTTTTAAACAAGAAACCTGTTTCTGTCCTGCTCAGTCACTGGTGATGTGCTGATGTAGGCTTCAGGATGGTGAGTATTCCCTCAATGTTTAATTCATAATGGACACTGGAAAGATGTCTCTTCTCTTGCTTCCTGGGAAATATGATGCCTTGTTCATAAAGCCATTTCTGAACTCCCAATTGTTAAAAATCCTGTATCATAAAGCATATGTGGTTTTTGCTGTTTGTACTTAGCATTCATATAACTCCTTTCTCCTAAATAGTGAGTTCAGCAAAAGAAAACCACTGCAGATAATTCTTACTCTCTCAAATCTCAAGAAAATTGGAGTGTTGAGAGGCAGTTCTGAAAAGGCCTTGTGGGGGTTGGGGGGTGGGTCAAGTGTTTGATTTTGTGAAGAGCTTGTTAACCAATTGCTTGTGTACCCCTGCAGAGATTTTTCTTTTCTCTTTCATATGTGGCATGGGAGACTTGAAAGAACTATGTGTTGTTTGTACTTTCAAATCTGTATGCTATAATTTGGGGGGAACAGAGCAGAATCATTTTGGCAGAAAGGGGAGAAAATGGCTGCCTGGTCCCTAGTGAGCTGTTTGCTTCTTTCCGTTGAGCAGATGCCTGGGAAGGCCGGCCTCACTCCTGTGTCAGTCACAGGCAATTAGGGCTAATGGCTCCACACGTCTTTATGTAGGGTGTGTGTGAGGGTTACTGTTCTCTTGGATTGGGCACTTCCTGTTTCCAAGCAGTTGGAAAACTCCAGACTCTGAAAACACTCTTTATTCAGCAGCCCAGGGAAGCCTGCCCCTCCCCTCCCCACCCAGAGTCTAAAACACTTTTCTGAGGTAGAGTTTGGACAGTGTCTTTTTCTTAGAGGATTTAGAATGTGACAAGACGTGTGTGTGTGTGTGTGTGTGTGTGTGTGTGTGTGTGTGTTGGGGTGCTGCTATCCATTTTTATGTATAGAATATTCCAGAGAAGAGTTTGGGAGTCCCGGTTATCCAGGAGCACTTACTGGGGGATTACACTCCTTGTGTGCCCACCAGCACTGCTGAGTGCATGATAGTGTGGACAGCAGGCTTTTCTGTTGGCTTTGGTATTGGAACCCAGAAAGGACATCGTTTCTAAGATCTTCCCAATCTGTAGGCCTCGTACTTTCCTCCCTCCCTTGTTTCTAAGTTGAGAAGACCCAGGCAGCAAGATGATGAACTTAGTCCTAGTCCACCATCCTGCTGTAAATTCTGTCGAGGGACTCGAGTACAGGTACATTCAGGGCATGAGTGGGAATCACAGAATACCTTTATCCTTTATGAGAATTTATAAATGAAGTATTTAAACTAAACTGCTAGTGTTCAAGTTACAGGTCAATACTTTTATAGGATGCATTGTTTTTCCCTTTTTATTATTTTTTTAAATTTGTGTAGTTGTGTGTACACAAATATATAGAGAACAGAGGACAACCTTTAGGGAGCTTGTTCTCTTCTTCCATCATGTAGTTCTGGGAATTGAACTCAGGTTGTCATGCTTGGTGGCAAGTACCTTTACTAGTGAGCCATCTCATTGGTTTACATTCTTCCATCAGATAGGCTAGTCATTACTGTTTAAGACATGGTAAGTCCAGTGCTAGGCACTGCAGATGTACAGCTAAGTAAGGAATGGTCTGTGTTCAGAATAGTGTATGAAGTCTGCTCTGGTCTCACTGAGGTCTCTCTGGGCACCTGATCCAATCCCTTGACTTCCTTGAGAACCGATGCCAACTCTCATTTCAGTATCTTGAACCCACTGTACAACTTTCTGCGTATCTTAACTCAGCCTAGAACAGAAACATTATCTGCCCCAAGCAAGCCTGTCCTGAAACTAACTGCCTGCCTGCCTGCCTCTCTCCCTTCCTTCCTTCTTTCCTTGTTGTTGAGACAGGGTTTCTCTGTGTGTAGCTCTGGCTGTCCTGGAACTCACTCTGTAGACCAGGCTGGCCTTGAACCTAGAGATCTGCCTGCTTCTGCCTCTGCCTCTGCCTAGGACTAAAGGCGTGTGCCACCACCGCCTGGCCATCTGTCTTTTTTTATACTATACCTTCTAAAGTAAAAGTTCTAAGCATGACTTTTCCCGCTTGGAGTGCCCCAGCAGCTTCCTACTGTCTTCAGGGATAAATCCCAATCCTTAAGTAAGCCGAAAATCTCCATGGAAACCACCTTCCCTGTGCACTCTGAGCTCTAGTCACAGTGACTGACTTTAGTCTGATCCATGTACTCCTCTCCTCCAGACTGAGCATCCCCCATGATGGTCTTTCTCAAAGCTTCCTCAGTGTCTTAACATTTAATTCCTTAGGTTTCAGGTTAATGACAACCCTTAGGGAATCAACCCTTCCCGATCCCTGGTGTTATTCTTTTGTTTAAAAAGAAGAAAAGAGAAATATTGAGATGGACATATTGACTATAAGTTTATTATAAGGCAGAATGGGGAGACTAAGAAGAGGAACAGGGTAATGGCTGACCACCATGGCCGGTCGCCATAGAGAGACAGAGCGGGGAAACAGAGAGGGGACAGAGAGCAGGACCGGGGAGAGAGCATAACGGTGCAGGGGCCTATCTTTTAAAGGGGTCCTCTGCACCTGCGTGCAGACTTCTTTCCCATGGAACCTTGGGCTGACCAGGGTATTGCCTGAGTGGATTCCACCAGGTAACAGGGGCAGGCCAGCATAATGCCTGAACCTTTCACCTGGTAGACGAGGCTAACTAACCAGATGTATAGCCACGTCTTTTTTCACATTTGTAATTGCTTGTTCCAAGTCCCTTTGTCATTCTGGGCTGTAGGTGACTAGGAGCCTGGCATGAAGTAGGCCCAGGACCTATTTGTAATAAATACATCTAAATGCTGCCCCCATTTCCTTTCTTCCTTTTTTCTCATCTGGATGAATGTTCTCTGCTTCACTGATGCTTTAAAAAAAAGGGTGTCTATAAGAGAATGTTGCTGTTTCCTTCACTCACTGTATTGACTGGCTCTGGGTTCAGCTGTGTCTGTCACACATCAGAACACTGGTCCTTGCTCGTTCACAAAGGCTCCTCATCACTCGATTCTCCTTGACTTAAAGTGTTTCTGAACTAAACTAAATTGCTTGCTCGGCTTTATCTGCCTCCAACTTTATCTGCTCAGCTCCTCCATCTCCTTTCCTAATTGATGAAAAAAAGGTTCACTGGGGATTCCAAGAATTGCCACATTGGTTGTCTGAAATTTACAGCAGGAAAGACACACACATCTGTGTGCTTCCAGGCTGAGGGCTTTGGAAACCTAGGCTGCCTTAGGCCAAATACAACATTCCAAAGTCCATTTCTCTCCCTGTCTGGAAGCCCTTTTTTTTTTTTTTTTTTTTTTTTTCTTTTAACTTAATTAGCCCCAAAGAAGCTACTGGAAAGGTGTGGAGTTTTCAGGTTGTGAGTGTCTATTGAGAGCAGGGGTGTTAGACACACGTGAGGTAGTGGCCAGGCAGCAAGTGGAAAACGTGGCCACTTTGGTCAGTTGTCCCTGGGTCTGGTTTTTGTCACTGTCGGAGCCCACTTTGAAGACTGAATCCTCATGAACAGACCAT